AGCTTTATTGAGGGTGGATCCCTGATGAGAACTGGCAGGGTGCCCCCGGGTGTCCCGTCAAAACCGCCTTTTCCGCACTTGCTTGACCTTGGAGGACCCAGGCTGGGGGGCAGGCCGAGACTGCTTCTGTGGGCGCCTCTTATAGTCCTGCGACTTCTTATAAGCGGTCTCGTATTTTGACTGGGTGGCCTGAGCGGGAGTCTGCTGCAGCTTGAACTTAGGTTTAGCCGGAGCCGGAACACAGAGACCCAGAGTCTGGAGAGTCGTGCAGGAGTCTTTCAGGCCATGCAGCTTTGTATCCATTTGTTCTGCAAACAGAGCTTTGCCGTCAAACGAGAGGTCCTGCAGGGAGGTCTGCGCCTCACTGGACAGCCCTGAGAGCAGGAGCCATGACGCCCTTCTCATGGACACCGCGGAGGCCATGGACCGCGCGGCCGTGCCCCCTGCATCTGAAGCTGCCTGCAGGGTTGCCCCGACAGCTGCTGGGCCCTCCTCCACCAGCGCTTTGAACTCCTTTCTGTCGTGCTCCTGGAGGGAGTCCTCGAACTTGGGCAGAGAGCCCCACATATTGAACTCATACCGGCCCAGGAAAGCCTGGTGGTTCGCCACCCTTAACTGGAAGCTCGAGGATGAATAAATTTTTCTTCCAAATGAGTCCAGCCTCCTTGAATCTTTATTTTTCGGGGTATGGGCTGGTTGACCCTGCCGTTCCCTGTGGTTGACCAACTCGACCACCAGGGAGTTAGGAGCAGGATGGGTGTATAAGTATTCATGCCCCTTGGCGGGTACAAAATACTTGCATTCCGCTCTCTTAGAGATGGGGGCCCAATAAGGCTGGGGTTTGCCACAGGGCATTTGAAATTTTTGCCACCCCTTCGTGAAGAGGCAAGGCCACCCTGCCCGGTGCCAAGGAGTACAGCACATTGAACAGGGAGTCCGAGGGCTCCTCCATCTCCTCTGCTTGGAGGTGGAGGCTTGATGCCACCCCTTTTAAGAGTTCTTGGTGGGCCCTAAAGTCCTCCTGCGCGACGGAGGGAGGAGGGTCCACAATCGCCTCATCCGGGGAGGGCAAGGAGACCGGTGAGGTACTGTATGTGTCCACCGGCACCAGAGGGTCCACCACCTCGTTGGTCTCCGGGCACGGTGCCGAGGATGTATGTCCTGGAAGGTCTGGAGAGGGAGGCCGATAGTCCTTCTGAGGCTCCAGCCACCAAGCGAGCTCCCACCGGGGTCTGCGTCAGGGGCCACGGTGCCCACTGGTACCGCCATAGGGCCCGGTGCCACTGCACCTGTGGCACTGTAGGCGTGGCGTCGTCGGAAGCGATGCCGACCATGGGACCGCGATCCCGAAGTGGAGGACTGGTACCATCGGTGACAGCTGCTCTGCGATCGGCTCTGGCAGGCAGACCCGTGACAGTGAGACGCCGGTGATCAGCGCTTGGGGCTGCGGAGGCCCTGGAGCGGGACACCAAACGGAACGACGTTGACGTTCATGCCGTGACCAGCTGCAATAGCCCCTCCGAGTCGAGGACCTTTGGCGTCATCTGCCTTGGTCCCGTCGGTGTTCGCTCCTCGAGGCAGACCGGTGCCAAGAGTCTTGGTCAGACGGAACCCAACCAGACAGCCTAGTGGGTGTCGAAGGCGATCCACATGGACTTTGCCCTGAACGGTCACTGGGCAGCGAACGGGGTTGGGAACGTTCCCTAAACCGAGACCGGTACCGAGCTGGGGGCGACTGCAGAGATCCCAGCGCCGGCTTGCCTCTGGAGCACGGGGCCAACATCGGCAGTGGTCCTGGTACCGGCATGGACATAACATCCCGGGCCGCCTGCAGGACCTCCGGTGTGGAGGGCATCCAGACATCCGGAGAGGCCTGCTCCAAATGGGCCGGGCTACTCCGCTCGACTTGAGTCGGAGGCCTAGAGGGCGGTGGGGATCGAGGACTGCCCAACATGGGTCTAGCCTCTGTCCCGGATGCTGCGGTGAAGAAGGCCTCTTCCTAGCCTTCTTGGCGTTCCCCGTGGATGGGGAGCGGTGCCAGCTAGTCGATGGCGCCGAAGGGTTGCCGTGCACTGACACCACGGTGCCGACACGCAGCGGCGTGCCGGGGTCAGCGCCGACTCCATCAGAATAGTCCGGAGCCTAATGTCCCATTCTCTCTTGGTCCGAGGCTTAAACGACTTGCAAATCTTGCAGCGATCGCTGAGATGGGTTTCCCCCAAACAGCGTATGCAGTCCATGTGCGGATCACTCAGTGGCATAGATCCCCTACAAGTGTTGCACAACTTAAAACCTGGGGCCCCGGGCATGCCCCGGCCTGGGTGCTCTAGCTAAACTAAACTAACTAACTACAGGTACCATAAACTGAACGAACAAGCAGTTTTGGGGACAAGCCACAGCAAAGCTGGAGCAGAGAAGTTCCGAAGCACCTTCACTGGCGGCAAGAAGGAACAGAGGGTGGGGAGAGCACGCAGCACCCCTTATACCGCACCATGGAGGCGCCACTCCAGGGGTCGCTGGGGCGCTCCCCTACAGGTACTGCTAGTGGAAAAACTTCCAGCACCGGTGCACGTGGTGAGCACGCACATCTATTGTGGAATACATATGAGCAATCACTGGAAGAAGAAATATCACATCCTAAAGTTTATTAGCTGTGAAAAATCTCCTCTCCTTCTGTTCAGCCATGGTGTGGGTAGTGAGAGGGTGTTTGTCAGTAGTGGCAGGGGAGGGGCCATCTCATGTGGGGTTGGGGCAGTAGGAAATACCTACCCAAAATCCCACTTAGTGGTGTAAGGACATAACTGGGTATGAAAATATCCCAGATGTAGGTGGCCATTTCTGCACCTACTTACTATCCACATCCCATTTATCCCTTTGCTATGCACTGGTTTGCTGCTGCTGCTGTGTCTCTTTTCAGTGCTTTATGTTCAGTTGGTGCCCTTTTTACAAAGTCAGGAAGGGTTTTTTCTGTCCCTCCAACTGGTGAGCAGAATGTGGGTTTTTAGCCTCCCTTCACCCAAAGAAACTTGGGAAAATTAGCTAGAGAGAGAGTTTATTTTGTCAAATTTTATTTTTCTTATTACAACTGCACGGCAGGTGTCCAGTGTGGGTTCTTTGGGTAGTAGGGATCAGAGCTGCCATTGCAATCCAGAGTGGGAGATGGGCTACATCTGGCTGGTGGGCCTGCTGCGCAAGGTGGGCGGGGGGGGGGGGAGAAAGAGCTTCAGCGTCTTACTCAGAAAGAGGCACCTCATCATCTCTCACATAAGGAAAGGTCAAAGAAAGATTTGGCAGTTTGGGTGCCAGATCTCTGGGGTGGTTCCACGCAAGGTGCCTCTTAAGCATTTGGCATGCCCTCCATGGCCACATCTTGGTGAAATGCACTGGACGTAAGCCACTGGACAGTTTTACTTAAAGTGGTGTAGGGGAAAATCCACTTGAAATCCTCTCCTGGTTGCACTGCAACCATGTTATGCAAGTTGTAGAGGCTTTAGCTGAAATCCTGGATGTGGTGTGATGCTAACTGTGATGCTGGTGTGACTGCTGCGTCTTTTTCAATACGTTCTTGAAAAAGAAAATGGGCATTTTGCCCTAACTAGCATTACAACAGTCCCCAGCAAAACAGGCAGCATTTTCTCCCCCCATATGGTCATGGTGCACCAGACTGGAAGCCAGGAAGTCTCAAGTTCTATACCCATCAATTAATCAGGGTTATGAAGATATTTAGCATCGGTGAAACCTGAAAACAGACAGAATTTTAAACACCGGCTGCCACCGGCAGACAAAACGGTCACACTCAATACAGGGATGACATTTGCAAACATCTGGCATCTAAAATATCAATTTTCTCTTAGCCCTGTTGAATTTTTATTTTCACCACAAGTAAGTATTATCTTATTTGTTACGCTGGGGCGACATTTTCAGAAGTGTCTAAGTGACTTAGTGTCCTTTGGACTTACAGTTCTAAGTGCCTACATCTCTTGAACATGCGACTTAGGCACTTTTGAAGATTTTACATTAGGAGAATAAAGCTGAGAAAAGCTAAGGACAACGTTTTCTAATCTGCTTGCTTAAAGTTTTCTATTTCTGAAAAATAGCTAAATTTTCAGAAGTGCTGAACACACGCTACTCCCAATACTCGGCACTTCTGGAGATCAAAAACACCTAGCTGCCCAAATATGGATACAGGCACCCAAATTTAAATGTTGTCTGATATTTCCGAGCCTCAGTGACCTAATATGTAAAATTTAATACTTCCTTATGAAGGAATCGCAAAAGTCAACATTTGTCAACTGTTACCCGCAGTGACTTTGCCAAGAAACATCCTGAATCCTCATGGAAAAAAGTAGAAGAAACTCTGATGCAAATATAGCACCATTTTCAAGATTCCCGCTAAATGGCTGCGTGTACAACTCTCCACTCTGGGTGAAATTTTCCACCATCTCTTTTAGTCCCTCTCACCACTACCCAAGCACATTAAAATCCTTTTGTATGGATGTGTTCTTGAGCTGCCACTCATAATCATACCCCACCTTCCCTACAACCTAGTAGCAGGTATCTCGCTATTTGGGGCCAGGATTTCACCCAATATGTTTACAGGTGATGGGCAAGTGGGTTGCCTCTCTTTGTCCAGATTCTCTGCAACACAAAAGAAAACCCAGGAGAACTCTATGAACTCCTCCAAAAAAACTACAGCTCAAACGTTAAGCAGTTATTACCTATCACTCTAAGCACTTGAGTGATAGATAATAACACGTAGCACATAGATGGGCTAAGTCCACATCTTCTTGTAGTTGTATGACCTCAAGCATTTCAGTAACATTACTGGCTTCACAGCATTATTCTTTTTGCTACAATGTATGGTTTATTCAGAACATCCATCCATACATTTAATTGTTTTGCAGATAAGTACAAATTACTGGTGAAACTCAGCGATTCACCGCTAAATATGAAATGTAGAGAATTTTTAAAAATCTTATTTCCTCTGACCAAAGTATTACCTGTGCATTGAAAATACTGGTCATCCACTCCATCTGTGTATCCTGTCCATCACAACACATGTGCCTACAATACAATATGTGGTATCATTAAAATAAACAGATTAATGAAGTATCGAACTGTAATTGTCACATACCACAGAAGCAGTTCTTGTTTTGACATTCAAAACCTACTTGGATTTCTCTTAATTATTTAATGTTGTTAGCAGCGCCGTATTATTGCCTAGGCCGACAAGGCCTAGGCCTAGGGCGGCAAATTTGCAGGGACGGAAGCTCCCCTCCGCGCCCCGCCCCCCTGCTCCAGCTCACCTCCGCCTCCTCTGCAAGTGCGCCGCCGCGTCCTGTTTCTCTCCCCTCCCAGCGCTTGCACCACGAAACAGCTGTTTTGCGGGGCAAGGAGGGAGGGGGGAGGAGGGGGAATGCCGCACGCTGGGGGAAGAGGCGGGGCCGGGGGCGGGGATTTGGGGAAGGTATCCAATAGGGAAAGGGAGGGGGCAGAGACTTTGGGGAGGGGGTTGGAATGGGGGTGGGAAAAGGGCGGAGTCGGGGCAGGGCCAGGGCGGCAATTATTTCCCGGCCTAGGGGCGGCAAAATTATTAATCCGCCACTGGTTGTTAGTATTTTATTATTTACATTTTACACATAAGAACTTCTAAAATATATATTAAATGCATACTATGAAAAGACTGAGGATCCAATCCAGGAATCCGTCCCTATTCTACAAAAACTGAAGCACCTGTTTAACTTTAAGCATGTGCTTAGTTCCTGGGATTTCAAATCACAGTTTTAAGCCTGTGCTTTGGGGCTTTGCTGAGCAGGGATCTTAGCAAGGATATGAAACTGACAGCTTAAACTAAAAGTTATTGCAACAAATCAACCAGTAATTTTTGGTAACAGGTAAAAATCAAACAAAAACAAGAAAAACACACACATTAGGTTTCAAGCACACTATTTAAAAAATGTTGACATTAAACAGGCAAACACACATTTGTTGGTGTTGGTTACTTACCAGTGGTGCTTTTCAGAATATACTGTAAGACCCCAGCTGAAAAAAATAAAACTCCACATTAAAAATAAATATTTATTTATTTACCAGAAACCAAAGCCATAAAAGAGAACTGAATGCTAACTTCGGGGTGCTTGCCAAATATTCCATAGGGAAGCTAATTTTACATGGAGATTACACCTCAAAAGCTATTGCAAGAAGGTTAATATGTAATTCTAATCTGAAAAGCATTTTCATTTAAAATGGCCTTATGGGGTTCCATGTTTATTGTCTCAATGCTTTGATATCAACTATGCTCTATTTACAAGTTGTGACAGGACCTTTTCATCTAACTAGCAGGTCTGCCAACTCAGTCAAGCTGGGCTCCTTTTACCTCATGAATCATCAAAACAGCAACAAAGTTTCATAGATCAAATTATGCTCTCAGTTATGTCTGTGCTACCCCATACATTTTATAGTTTCAGTAACACCTATGCAACCTCATGGAGTTGTACTTGGGTAATTTGTTGGAACTAATGTAACTTATTAGGAATTCTCTGATGATATACAAAATGGAATAGAATCCAGCTCATTAGGCCTTAGCTGTGTAGGTTCTGCAGGGCTGCTGAGAGTTTAAAAGAAGCATTTTTGTCACTAAAGTAAGGAAAGCTATGACTGAATACACACAAGGAACACAGCTGAGACAAGACATGTCATTTTTACATGTTCACTTTCAAGAGGAACACTGATATTTAGTCCTCTACAAACACAAATGAATGACTTTGAGATCCTTTGATGAAGGTGCTGTAACAGGCCAAAATATTCCTACTAGCAGTGATAGGGACATGGATTTGAAGCAAGTGGGGCAACTAGTGAGGGCAGTCAAGTGAAGACTTGGTTTCTAGAATGAAGTCAGGCAATATAATCTAATATATAGCACTGCCCCATTTCCAGTGGTGTGAGAGACCAGATCAATCAGCTGAAAGTTTGTAAGTGACCCGGAAGCCTGGGGTAAGAAAAATAAATCACAGAGTGGAGAAAAAAAAGAAAGGCGAAATGGGACCAGACAATAAGATGGCAGAATGAGCAAAAACAGAAGGAAAGACACAGTCAGCGAGAGCAAACGACCGCATGCACACACTGACACACACAATAGGGCAGAAAAGTTAAGAGGACAACCATATGAGCAGCTCTGCAGTGAGAGACCTGGGTTTGATGCCAGCTTCTGTCACCTCTGAGGCCTGGGCAGGGCTGGTGGAAGGATGTTTCGCGCCCTAGGTGAAACTTCCACCTTGCGCCCCCCTGGTCCCCGAGCCCCTGCCCTGAGGTGCACCCCCCCGTGGCAACTCCCCCCCCCGCCCTGAGGCGCCCCCCCTGCGGCAGCTCCCCACCCCCTACCCAATCAGCTTAGGCGCCACAAGCCTGGGGGGCGGGAGAAGTGAAGCAGCCACGGCGTGCTCGGGGAGGAGGTGGGGCAGGGGTGAGCTGAGGCGGGGAGTTCCCCTGCGTGCCGCCCTCCCCTCCCCCCGCTGCAGGCGGCCCTCCCCGCACTCCACTGTCCCAGCTCCCTCCGTCTAAATGCCGGCGGCGACGGGGGCGGCCGAAGATCCGGCCACCGCGGTCGCTGCTGAAGAAAATGGCGGCCCCCAAATCCTAGTGCCCTAGGCGACCACTTAGGTCGCCTAAATGGTTGCACCAGCCCTGGGGCTGGGTGTGCACTAAGGGACAGAGTGCTCTGCCTCTGAAGATAGGAGACCTACTAGTCTGCAGCAACTAACCCGACTCGGTCAGGAGTGCCACTAACTGGCTTAAATACAAAGAAAAGTCACAGCAATGTGGAACCTGGAGAAGGAAAATCCTTCATTGAGGACCCAGGGACTGGCACCAAAGGTCAGGACTAGTAATCTTTTTTGGCACACTAAAGGTGTGCCCACCATTGGAATGCAGGATACATGCTACAAGACTAAATTGAGCTAGTAACAATTACAGCCACAACAGAAAACACACTTCAGATTAAGAAAACCAATCAATAAAGTAATTTTCTAACACAGAAGAGTTAACACGGAACACAGGACCAGACAGCATCAGAACAAGTAATATTATAGAGTGCAATTCCATTCAGAATAAGGGACAGACTTCACTTGATTTCCTGATTTTGTGTGCGCGTGTGTCTGTACGTGTGCATCTGTGTGGTGTTCCATCACAAAACTCTAGTATTTTGCTATACAGAACATAACCCCGTTTCTTTTCTAATCTTACTTTGTTGGTGGCTTCATTTTCTTTTTCACTCCAAGATAAAGTTTCAGTGAACTGAGGGGCAGCACTTTTTCAGGTTTGCTAGTCTGTGAATGAACATAAGTTTCTAATTACTGCATTAGAAATTTACAAAACAGAATGGTTTATAAAAGCCCAATCCCCTTTTTTCTTCCTTTGGGGGTTCTCTATTCTTATCTTTTCATTATGGGTCACTATTTCTAATTTTTCTACCTCCCCCCATCACCTTTGGGGAAATAATCAATTACTTCTTACAGACCTAGTATAATTATATATGTGTATAAGGTATATGAGTTTCACAGCTCCAGCTTGAGGCTAGGAGATTGAAGTGAAGTTGAAAAATTTTCCAGTAGAAAAAAAGAGGCACATTTGAATGTCTCATACATGGAGCATAAAGCCACACTGTCAAGGTGCTAAGTAAGGTTTTAGGAGCATTAATTAATGCTCACATATGTGCCAATTTCAGTTTTTAGCACTAAGTATTTAGACACTTTCTGACATCCTGTGGTCATTCTACTTACGAAATATATCTAAGGATTCATAAAAAAAAAAGACATAATATTTCGTCTACATAATCTTACATTAGCTATTAACGCATTAAACTCTTCTCTAAGAAAAGGAGGATATTCCCCCAAGGTATTTTAAGGAAAGTACAGTATATGTATAAATCCGCTGCACAGACAAAAACAGCATCAAGACCAAAAAAGCAATACTTTATTTAAAAGGTATTCTTTACCAGAAGCTATAAATGTTAAAATGAATCGAATAAAACTAATCATAAATACAATACTTAGTTTTATAATTTTGTATAAATTGCACACACTCAAAGGATTCTGCAAAGCACTAAAAACTTCTGATATATTATGGACCCAAAGTGGCAAAGCTCTTAACACATGCTTAACTTTATACATGTGACTAGCCCTGTTAGTCAATGAAATTGTTCATGTGTAGGAAGTTAAGCACATGTATGTTTGCAGGACTGGGCCTAAATCAATAATATAGATTTACTTTTCTGCTTTTATTATTAAAAAGTTAAGTAACAACTTCATACTTTTTTCGGAAGGGGCAGGGGAGGGGAATAGGGAACAGAGGGAAAAAAGATAACATTCACAAAACAGTACACAGAAAAGAAAGAAGATACTATAGTGAAAGATGTTATTTTCCAAAACTCTTCTATCATGACATTTTTAACAAAAATAATTTAAAAAAAGTTATTGTGCTCTTGTACCTTGTCTTTTCTAAAAGCCTTGAAATTGCAGGGCAAACAAATAAGCAGTTATTGGAGCTTTATAATACTTACAACACCCTAGCCTTTAAACAAGCTCTGTACTAAAAGATAGTTTAGAAGCCAGTATAGAGCCTATGTTGGTTTCTAAAAGTTGTTTTAATTAAAACAAAGTTTATCACAATACATAAACATAGCTAAATGAGCTCTTATATTTTCTCAGTTTATTCCACTTTAACAACTCTAACATAAGCAAAAAATCTCTCTTCTTATTTTAATGCCTGAATTGCGTAGGCAAGCATAACAATTGCTGATTTGCCTGTCAACCTGTGTTCATTTTTTCATATGTAAAGGAAAGGAGTTTAAAGCTTAACTGCTCATGATTAGAAGGGTGCAGAGTATGTGTTTATACCTTCATATCCTTGTAAAGAAGCAGATTTCCTTCCCGTAATACAAAATAACGCTCTTGAAATTTATTTCCAGACAGTAATTTTGATGGTTCTTCTTTGTATTTCAGATAGCCTGCTTTCACATTACCTTTTACATTCTTCTCTGTCAAGAAGATGAAAAGCATTTGGTTACAGTATTTTTAAATATTGGAAATCACCGAGTACTGAATTTTAATGTGCTTAGCATTATTATGTATCAACACAATGATACCAGAATTTTATTGTTCTAAACTTTCTTATTTAAAAGTGTATGATGACTATATTGGTGCTGAAAGATGTCCTATTGATAGCACAGACAGAGGCCATGTAAGCTGTCTATACTGTCTCATCAACATAAACTTCAATATGAACATGGAGAGGCTAAAGTAAATTTCTAGGAAAGAATATCCCAAAGCTTATTTAGATCTTAGTTTCTTCAATGAGTCTAATACTAACTGATACATTATTCAACAAAAAGTATTTTGTCATGCTGGACTGTGGTAGTCAATTTATTTCTAGAGCTGGTCAACAGTTTTTGAATGTAATGTGGCGTGGGTAAAAACCTGCCTTTTCTGAAAAGTTTTGCAAATATGTTGGCTTTAGGAATTTGTGTGTTTGTGTGTGTGTGTGTGTGTGTGTGTGTGTGTGTGTGTGTGTGTGTGT